AACCGAACCGTGCAAACCGGAAACCGCCCAGAAACCGGCAGCTGGGAAACCGAACCCAACCGAACCGCTAATGTATAAAATAAGCTCCCGAATCGGACGAACCGGAGGGAGGAACCGGAGGCGAACTGCCGGCATGTGCTCTGCTTTTTCTCAAGCAGACATGTATGTGTATATATATATATATCTGCATATACTTGTCTGTAGAGATTAGTCTATAATGTCTGCGGCTCTCCAAAATATTGGAAAGCACCTTGGTTCCAAAGTTGCGTTCGTCTTGGAATTGCTTTTTTGGCAACCCCAAAAAAGCAAAAACACAACCCTTCTGCCCTCGTATTGGATTTGCTATTTCGGACCCCCAAAAAAGCAAAAACACAACCCTTCTGCCCTCCTATTGGATTTGCTGTTTTGGCAGCCCCCTCAAAAAAAGACTGGTGCCCTCGAATTGGATTTGCTTTCTCGAAAGCCACAAAAAAGAAAAAACACAACCCTTTTGCAATGCACAAGCACAGCCCTTGTGCCTCGTGTTGGATTTGCTTTTTTGGCGGCCTAAAAAAGCAAAAACAGCCCGTGGCCTGACGTTCCTTTTCCACCTGACGCAATGTATTAGGACCCGAAAGCCGAAATGAATCATAACAAACAACTAAGTGGGAACATGTTTTGGCTTTTTGAATGGCCGTGAAAAGCAAATACCAAGACCATGACTTACTCCGAACCGGTTAGGAACCGGAAACCAAACCGGTTAGGAGCCCGAAACCGACCCGAACCGAACCGTTTTTTTTTAAATTATATCCCCAGAAACCGAACCGAACCGAACCGGGAACCGGAAATTCACACGTTCCTGGAAAAAGAAACCGAACCGAATCGATCCCACCCTGGATAAGTGGATGGGTAGATAGATGAAAAGAAAGATAGTTAGATAGGCAGATAGATAGATAGATAGATAGATAGATAGATAGATAGATAGAGAAGAAAGAAAGCAAGAAAGAAAGACAGAAAGAAAGATAGATAGATAGATCGGATAAGATAAGATAAGATAAGGTAAGATAAGAATAGAAAGATAGATAGATAGATAGATAGAAAGATAGATAGATAGATAGATAGATAGATATAAAGATAGATAGATAGATAGATAGATAGATAGATCGATAGATAGATAGATAGATAGATGGATAGATAGATAGATAGATAGACAAATAGATAGATAGATAGATAGATAGATAGAGAAGAAAGAAAGCAAGAAAGAAAGAAAGAAAGATAGATAGATGGAGAGATAGATAGATAGACAGAAAGATAGATAGATAGATAGACAGATAGATAGATAGACAGACAGACAGATAGATAGATAGACAGACAGATAGATAGGAATAGATAGGAATAGATAGGAATAGATAGGAATAGATAGGAATAGATAGGAATAGATAAGAATAGTTAGAAATAGATAGGAATAGATAGGAATAGATAGAAATAGATAGGAATAGACAAGAATAGAAGGGAATAGATAGATAGAAAGACAGATGGAGACTTAGATAGATTGACAGACAGGCATACAGACAGACAGACAGACAGACAAACAGACGGATCGACAGACAGGCAGCATTTACACAGGGGAGCCTTTACACAGAGCAGCTTTTACACGCAGAAGCATTTACAGTACACGGGGAAGCCTTTACACAAAGCAGCTTTGCACACCGGGCTTTTACACACAGACGCTTTTACACAAAGCAGCTTTTACGCACAGACTCTGCTGCATACAGACGATTTTACACAAAGCAGCTGTTGCACACAGACACTTTTACACACAGCAACTTTTGCACACAGAGGCCTTTACACGTAGAAGCTTTTACACAGAGCAGCCTTTACACAGAGGCCTTCTACACACAGAGGCCTTTTACTCACAAACGCTTTTACACAGAGCAGCTTTTACACACAAAAGCCTTTAAGCACAGAGGCTTTTACACAAAGCAGGGTTTTACAACAAAAGTTTTTACCTGCAGAGCAGCTTTTACGCACAGAGCAGCTACTACACAGAACAGACTTTACACAGCGGAGCTCTTGGACACAGGCACCTTTACAGATAGACGTTTTTACACAGATAAGCGTTCACACAGAGAAGCCTTTACACAAGGCAGCTTTTGCACAAAGAAGCGTTTACACAGAGGAGCCTTTACACTAGGCAGCTTTGACACAAAGAAGAATTTACACAGAGAGGCCTTTACACAGAGCAGCTTTTACACACAGACATATTTAACACAGAGAAGCCTTTACACAGAGCAGCTTTGCACACAAAGCTTTCACACACAAAGAAGTGTTTACACACACAGAGACGCCTCTACACAAAGCAGCTTTGCACACAGGAGCTTTTGCACACAGAAGCCTTATTACACACAGACGTGTTTACACAGAGCAGCTTTTACACACAGAAGCCGTTACAGTCCTTTACACGCAGAGCAGCTTTTACACACAAAGCACCTTACACAGAAAGCACCTTACACAGAGGAGCTTTTGGACACAGGCACCTTCACACACAGAAGCTTTTACACCGGAAAGCCTTTATGCAGGGCAACTTTTACACAGAGAGAAGCCTTTACACAGAGCAGCTTTTACACACAGTCAACTTTACATAGAGCAGCTTTGCACACAAAGCTTTCACACACAAAGAAGTGTTTACACAGAGAGAAGCCTTTACACAGGGCAGCTTTTGCACACAGAAGTATTAACACAGACAAATCTTCACACGGAGCAGCTTTGCACACAGGAGCTTTTACACGCAGAAGCTTTTACACAAAGATGCTTTTACACAGAACAGCTTTTACACACAGACCCTGTTACACACAGACGCAGCCTTTGCACGAAGAAGCCTTTACACGCAGAAGCTTTTACACAGAGTTTTTACACAGAGACCTTTTGCCCACAGAAGCATTTGCACAGAGCAGCTTTTACGCACAGACCCTGTCGCAAGGCAAAGACGACGCAGAGGGAGCAGACTTGCGACACTGAAAAACGCACGTCGCAAGGTCTGACCTTTGACCCGGTTCAGACAGGGTTCAGACTGGATCAGACGCGGTTTTCAAACAGGGTCCAGCATGTCGCGACGCCCCAAAATAATAGCACTAAAACCAGCTCAAAAATCAAGGCTTAAATGACACTCCCCCCGTTTTCAACCGTCAAGAGCCCAGCAAGGACCAACTAGACCCAACGTAGGCCCCACATAGGTCCCAACGCGGCCCCAGCACGGCCCCAAAACCAAGGGCTCATTTTTGTCATTGACGCTCAAAAATAAAGGCATGAATGATCCCCAGCGTTTTCGGCCAACAAGTGCCCAACATCAACATGGACCAACATAGGCCCCACATAGGCTCAACACGGCCGTGTAATAACGAAGGGTCCATTTTTGTCATCGACGCTCTTAAAATCAAAGCTTAAATTATCCACCCGTTTTGGACCCAACATGGACCAACATAGGCCCCACATATGCCCAGCGTGGCCACAACATGGTAGAAATTTACAAATTACTTTTCTTTTTTGCGCTCACTATGTCACTAAATAATTGTTTTGCGGGAACTCACAACCTAATCTTCTTCGGAAACTTCGATAAAACTGGAAAAATTGGTGTTTTATCGCCTGCTTTTCCGTGCGGGCCACACTGTTGTCTGGTTATGTGATATTTCGTGCGCCCCTTGAAGCGGCTCCTTTCTGGTCTTGGAGAGTGTCGTTGCTCAGAACCTTGGCCTGACAACGACCGCGTGATGTGAGGAGGACCGTGCACTCACGGTTTTGAACCTGGATCGAATTTTGAAGAATGTGATTGGAAACCGCTGTGATCCACCCAATTTCGAAATACGCCGTTTGAGCTGGCACTTCTCGGTTTACAACCAATAAAGATGATCCCAAAGACTGCTTAACAAAAAAACTGTCACCGTTCACACTCCCTCCGCTTCATTCCCGCCGGCTCCTGGCAGCGCCCGGTGTTGACCCCGGCAGTCATATGTCCATGATCTAACTGAACCAAGATGAACTTCTTCTCGAACTTGATCTCTTTCCCGGTGCCTATGCGGTTAGAACAGCACTTGGCAAGTCGGCGGAAAAAACTGAGGAACAAATTGATGCAAATTTTATGCAAAGTGGCTAACCACATAGACATTGAATGTCCACCCCTACCAAGAGATTGACAGTGCCGCTTCAGAATCCTTTGTGCATGAGCATACCACAGGAATCAGCGACGAACCCCTTCACCACCATGGTGAACTTGACAACGAGCCTCGTCGATTTGGGATTGTCTTCTGCGCTTCTTCAGCATCAGCCTGGCTGATGAGGTTCTCGAGCATTGGGTCCTTCGTATGTGCCAAGACTTGGGATCTGCATCGCTAGGGTGTAGCAGGAAACCTGGGAAATTTGATTCTTGCCATTCCAGTATGGTATGGATGCGAACAGTAAACTACAACTACGCCGGAAGGTGCCAATTGCATACGGGCGCATCCTTTCCAGCTACTGTAAGTGGGAAAATTTCAGGAAGCGAGGACAAAGCAACGCACACACACGCACAAATCCACACACTGCGTAAGTTTGGGTTGAGGATCCTTACATAGTCCCGTCTGGGGTGGCCCTCAGGGTCGACCCCAGTTTCATCAGGCTAAGATTCCTGTACTGACATCGAAAGAAAACAAACCATACATCCAGTACCAGGGTGGGACAAAACTACAATTTGGACTCCGGCCCAAAAATTTATCAGTTTAAACACCGAACATAGCCACATACCAAATAATAAAACGCAGGGTTACAAAATCTATGGAGCCGATGAATTTTCAGGCTCACTAGCTGCAACCAAACACAAAACAAACAATATATATATATATAATAATAATGAATAATAAGAAACTAATAATAATAATATAGTTAAAGATGTATATATATATACATAGTTAAATATGTATATATATATATATACAATATAATTATAAAAATATACATACACACACATATATATATATATATATGGCGGTTGATCCAAATTCCTTTATCTGCAAACGGCCATTCTTCGCGAAACAAAACTTTCTTTCGCGAATCTTTCGCGGACTCCATGTTTATCTTTCGCGGAATCCATGTTGAGCAACAACTCCTCGTATGAAGATTTATTTATCACCTACCAAATCACACTAAATTATCACGGATAACTTCTTCATAGCCTTGCAAACATGCAGCTAGCATCACGGAATCCTCAGGACAGGTTGTTGCTGATTAGGGAGATTTTGGCACGGGTTACGGGGCCACTCCCTTCAAGATGCACTTTGACTTTCGCCCACTCCTTCGCAGAGCTTTCGCGGAACTTTCGCGAAAATATCCCTATCTGCAGACCCCAGACATCAGCAAGGGGCTCATCAGAGGAAAAGCAAGCACCAGGGGCCTTGGTGTTTGGCCCTCGCAAAGCCTCACTTTTGGAAGCTTGGCTGCTGCATTTGGAGCTTGTTTCTTGAGACTTCAGAAAGCAACGTTAGGCAGTACCAGCGGCAGGTGCAAGGATGTACCTATGAAGGGAAAAGCAAATGTGCGGTACCATTCTCCTGCCGGACCCCCGGGCGGCAGGAGGTGGTAGCCCTGAACAAGCTGTAATGTATACAGTGATAATGATTCATAATATCAAACTCTCGCGAAACTTTCGCGAATAAAACAATTTCTTTCGCGAACTCACAAATTGCGAGGGCTCCCAGCAGAACATGAACGGTCTTCGCAATTTAAACTCTTTACAAGGACCTTCAGATCGATCACCATATAGATAGATATATAGATATAATTTTCGTTTTTTGGCGTGAATCTGCTGAGCTGAGCATTCCAGTGCTGCTCTTAGACTGCAGCGGTTCAAATGATTTTGCATTTGGTCTGTCATGTTTTGAACATTGTCCCACACACACACAAAAACGATCGGATACCAGCCGGCCGTTAAGCCGAAGAAATTCAGCCAGCCCATCTTCCTCAAATTAAATCTCAGCTTCAGTAAAATTATCCCGAAACCGTGGCGCCGGATTCATTAACGATCTTTTTGCATACACTGTCTAAGTTTCAAAAGGAGCTGAAGTTCTATTACCGCATCCTAAGCTGCCTGAACTTCGACATGCTAGTTCACTTTTTTCTTGGGAAAACTGGCAAAAAAATGCGCTGTATAGTTTTCAGCCAGCCCACCTGCCTCAATTTCACCTTTAGTTTCTGTTTAGGTTTTGATATGGCAATCTATCGGCCATTTTTAAATTCAAACTACGTATATATAGTATATATATATATATATACAAATCTAGCGTCGAAAAAAAGCTACGCTCAGAAGGTAAGATTCAACCAAAGGACGCTTGAACATCGTTGTTGAATCCTACGCCACGGTTCCGGAGTAAATATCTTGAAAGTTTAATTTGAGGAAGGTGGGCTGGCTGAATTTCTTCGGATAACGCGTCCATGCCTGCCATGTTGGCGTGTCTGTGCAGTGAGCTGGTCATTAAAGTTTGAAGTTTCCTGGCTGGTGAGAAGGGTACCGAATGCATCACCGGGGGCCCTTCGCACCAGAAGATCCAAACTCGACATACCCTTGCTCAAACCTGAGACGAGTTGCAAATCATCTGCCTCATGCTTATGCAAGATATATGATGGGGTGGAAAGTGTGGAACCCATTGTGCTGCATGCATCGCACTGCGCAATGATTTTTTACGGGTCCAAAATACATCGTAGAATAATTTTGCCAAAAAAAATGACATTTCTTTCGTTAAATATGCATCAACAGAAGCAATGTCTTGTTTGCGGCTTGATTTCAATCTCCAAATATGCAAAAAATAAAATTCTTCGGGATTGACCTCCAAGATACCTAAGACCTAAGAGCTAAATTCTGAGACTGAATACGAGGAACAGAAAAAATGCTAAAAATGGGTCGAACCCACGAATCTCAGCAGGGGACACCAGACGGGGATCTTAGGAGCCTGACGCGGGGTACCTATGCATATCCTACGAAGCCGCACATACGTGTGTAAAATGCATGTGCGCAATATGTGGGCTGCACACCTAACGCATATGAAACGCAGGTCAAACATACACGTTAATTTGCTGCGTGAAAGGTATGTGACGCGTATGTGCAGCGTGTCTGAAAACGTATGTGAAACATATTATGTGAACCGTACATGAAACATATGGGAAACATTGAAATGCTTTCCGGCCGGATTGCGCCAGGATTGCGCCATGTCTAGGTTTGTTCTATTGCGCACGCGTAGTAAACTTACAGCCAAATTTCCCGGGAAAATACAATCATACCGCATCAATCCGAATCAGACCTAATTTTTATGCAAATAAGATTTCATTTTAGAACTTCCATAAAGACTACACAAACAATCACAAACATACCACATGCAACCGATGATGGCATTTCTGGATACGGCGCGAGTGTGCACTTGGCTGGTGCATGTGACGCTGTTCATGTATATGTATGCACCGGCCCGGGCTCCATTGTGGAAGCCTTTCCTGGTCTGCTAATTGAGACAGCAAAGAAAGGTGTTTTTTTCTCGCCGCGAATTTGGCGGTTTTGGCCTAACGGCAAGTTTGTCTGCGCGTAACATGACTTCGTGTCCGTAGGGTGCGTGGTTTGTGAGCATGCCAATACTAAAAATCAAGGGTCGAAAACCTGTGATCTGAAACTGCACAGCCTTTGACGTATCCAAGGAAAAGAATGAAATCGTCTCGGCACATGTCTACTGCAAATCAATTTTGCCACCTAATTCCTGAGGATATTGATAGAACAGGCCAATGCCAACAATATAGCAATGTAGTAAACCATCGGTGAGAATCGGTGAGAAATGAGCAGGTATGTAATCCCTATGGTCCCGAGATCATACTTTCGTTGGTTGAAGGCTTCTGATCCAAACCCCGACCTTTTGCACCCCAGGGAAAAAAAACATATGACCCAACCGGACCCAACAAACCCCCGAAGGGCAACAAGGGGAGGGGGAAAGGAGGGAAAAAGGACGGCTAGCCAGCAACACAACGAGAAAGGCAGGAAACAAAGCAAGCACAGGAACTCAGGAACTTATAGGACGGGATATCCCCACATGTCAATTTTTCAATAAACACCAGAAAGGAGACGGTGGAAGACAGATTGCTGGAAAAAACTGCGGCTGATAGAGCCATGTGTGGAAAAATTATGCGTGAAAAAACTCAAGTGTGACAGGGTTTTGTGTGACAGAATTGTGTGTAGACATGCTGCTTATGACTTAGCATAGTTCAAAAGATGCACTACTGGGATATGAAAAATCACGACGGGTCGATATGACGGACGGCACGACAACAATGTGCCAACGGCCTGACGACCATAGCTCGGCAGCACGACGACGATGTGCCGACGGCACGACGGCGATAGACCGACGGCATGACGAATGCTTGGCGACGACATGACGACGATGCGACCACAGCGCGACGACCGTCACAAGCCCGGGTTCATAAGCCCGGGTTCGGCGCCGAACCCAGGTTTATTATGACATGTCAATACATGTCACAAGGTGGGGTTGGACGCCGAACCCGGGCTTATGACGGTCGTCGCTCCGTCGTCGCACCGTCGTGGCCTCGTCGTCATGTCGTCGTCATGCCGTCGGTCTATCGTCGTCGTGCCGTCAGCACATCGTCGCCACGTCGTCGTCATGCTGTAGTCGTGCCGTCGTATAGTGACATAGCCACTCCCTCGTCATAGGGCCCGAACTATCCTCAAAAGCCTCCCGTCGTGGAGCTCCTGCTTCCACTAGAAAACCTGGTTTGCATGTGTTCAGAATTTAGCTAACTTATGACAATGTTGTGTGTGTGTGCGTGTGAAAATGTTGGATGTGAAAGAGTTGTGCAAGATAATGTTGTGTTTCAAAGAGTTGTGGGGGTGAGTTGCGTGTGAGAAGGCCCTGTGTGACAGAGTTGCGCGTGACTCATCTGTCTCCCAAACCAACCAAGCACGCCACCAGAGCCAGCCCAGCGCCGTAAGTGCCACGCCTGCCACGCAGAAGTAGCGTCGATGTCACCAAGAGTTGTATGATGTATGTGAGTTGCGCGTGACAAAGTTGTGTGTGTGTGACCAAATTGTGTGTGTGTGTGACCAAATGTGTGTGTGTGTGGCAAAGTTGTATGTGAAAGAGTTGTGTGTAACAAAGTTGCTTGTGAGAGAGCTGTGTGTGACAGAGTTGTGTGTGACAATGTTGTGTGACAGAGTTGTGTGAAAGAGTTGTGTGTGACGAAGTTGTGTGTGTGTGCCTGTGTGTGTGTGTGACAAAGTTGTGTGTGAGAGAGTTGTGCGTGAGAGAAGGCGGCGGGTGGACGGGAGTGGACGGGA